AGAAAAAACACAATCATAACTATATAGGAGCATGATTTTTCACAAACTGAATGCATCCATTTAACTACTACTCAGATCAAGAAACATCATTAAAATAGAGAAAGAAAGAAACAGATCGTTACAAGATGGTAGAAACCTGCTCATGTGCCCACTATCATTCCACAATGTTGGCAAAGATGTATGGAGAATGAAAGTGTACACCTTGCTTTTTTAGAGATAGGACTTGCACGTCTATGGAAGAGTGGGGGTATCTCTGGGGATGAGTACAGATTCCAAAAGACAATACCATTAGCAAATCTTTAGAGGAAAGCTTCATTAAGATATATATGAAGAAATGTAAATAAAACAGCTTGAATGGACCTTGGATAGAACAAGATTTGAAATATGACTGTCAATTCATTAGAGTCAGACAGAAGATAACTAAATGTCAAGCCAAGGAATCTGGGCTTGATCTTTCAGATGATAGGAGCACAGAAGGTTTCTGAGTCCAAAACATCAATATAAAGAAATGAAACAGGAGATGAATATGTGGAATGAACTGAGAAGACAAATGTGTTGGAAAAGAAACTGGAAGGAGGCTACTGGAACCTAGAAAAGAGTCCACATGGATGAGGAGAGTAAGAATTTAAAAAATGTGTATATGAGGAATAATAATGAAAAAGGCAAATAGGGTGAACGGCTGGAATGGGAAATATAAACAATCATCTCTCTTGCCTCAATTCACTCTCAAGTAGAATTTCTACCATCCTTGATGCCACTCTTACTTACAAGTAGTCACAATTCTTAATAATTTATTTTAAATGTCTCTCAAATTTAATGTCTCCCCTTACACTCACAATCATTGTTGTGGTTTCAAATGTAATTATTATTCAAATTATTGTAAAGTCTTCTAGTTTCCATACTACCAAATCTTTTCCTTTATTTTCCACACTGAAGGCAAATTAATCTGTTTATATCTAGCCTGCATTTCACTTCCTTGAAGGTAAAAACCTTCAAGAAGCTAACAAGGCAGGGCACGGTGGCTCATGCCTGTAACCCTAGCACTCTGGAAGGCTGGGGTAGGAGGATCATTTGAGCTCAGGAGTTCGAGACCAGCCTGAGCAAGAGCAAGACCCCATTTCTACTAAAATACAAAAGAAAAAATAATGAGCCAGCATGGTGGCACATGCCTGTAGTCCAGCTACTTGGGAGGTGAGGCAGGAGGATCGCTTGAGCCAGGAATTTGAGGTTACTGTGAGCTAGGCTGATGCAACGGCACTCTAGCCCAGCAACAGAGTGAGACTCTGTCTCAAAAAAAAAAAATTGTTTTTCTACTGTTAATTAACAGCAGCTAGATGCAAACACCAAAGCTGAACATAGCAAGCCCTGAAAGAATTTAGTCTGCATGTTGTGCCTTAACATAGATGCCATCCACTCTCCTTTCTTTCTCTTTTCTCAGTAAAGATAGGGCTTTTATCTTGCAAGGCTTAAGCGTGGTTTTCCCAATCTTTGTGCAAAAAACAAAAACACACAATCTAAGACAATGAGCCACAGTTTCAATCTGCTGCCACAGAATTTCACATAAAACCTGCCATTGCTCTACACCTACAGCCTTTGATGTATTAAGTCCCTCAATCCTTCCTTAAGACCTACACTTACTGAGATATTTATCATAAATTAACATCTTTTTAAAGCACCAATACTTTAATGAAAATTATCATTGATCTTGTTGTGCTCCGCCTGCATTTTTCCGTAAACTTGTTTTGCCAAAACTAAGGTTCTCAAGAATGCATATATCACAGGGGAGCAGAAATGTCTGCACTTACAGTTTCTAAAATATACCATGTACTTCAATTCCATAATATCTTGCTTTGTTCAATTCTGTTTCCTCCTCGAATGCTCACCCCCTTCTCAAATCCAACAACCATAAAGAGAAGACATTTTTCTTTTTTGGAGGTAGGGGACAGAATCATGCTGTTGCCCTAGCTAGAGTGCAATGGCATAGCTCACCACAACCTCAAACTCCTGGGCTGAAATAATCCTCCTGCCCAGCTTCCCAAGTAGCTGGGACTGCAAGTGTGCACCACTGTGCCCAGCTAAGTTTTCCATTTTTTAGTAGCGATGGGTCTCATCTGCTGAGGCTGGTCTCAAACTCCTGACCTCAAGCAATCCTCCCACCTTAGCCTGTAGCACCCAGAGTGCTAGAATTACAGGAGTGAGCCACCACGCCTGGCAACCCTTTTCTACAGAGTAATTCTCATTTTCTATCAACACACTGAACACATATCATTGCATTTACCAACTTCTGCAATCACTTGCTTTTAAACCAGTTGTCCTAGCTTTTACCATGCATTAGGAACACTTGGAGAAGTTAAAACGTAAGACTGATTTGGCTCATTCCCATTTCTGATTTAGTAGATCTAGGGTGAGACTTGAGAATTTGTATTTCTAATAAGTTCTCAGATGATGCGTTGAGAACTACAGTTTTATACCAGTGCTGTCCAATAAAACTTTATTTATTGTATTTTTTTTTTTTTTTTGAGACAGAGTCTCACTTTGTTGCCCAGCTAGAGTGAGTGCCATGCGCCACCTCAACAATCCCTTCCTTGGAAATAACTTCATTAACTCTCAGATGCTTTGTATTGGTCTTGGACAAATCGGGTTTCCTGAGGCAGGTGCACACGAATTAACGGACCCTGAGCAATGGAAGTTTGGAGATTTCCAAACTGTTATACGAGACAGAACTTGTTTATCCATCTTCTTCCTATATCACCCGCACACAGTTAAAAGACACATCCCGAAATGACATTGGCAATAGACTAGCCCAATAAGTCAGTCTACGCGTTGAATGTAGAAATGCAGGTTTCATCGATGCTGTGCTGCAGAGAGCAAGGTCTATTGTTCTCGCGACTACTCTGGTCTTTCATTCCTTCACACAAAAAAAGACAGAATTGCGAACCAGGCGCGGTGGTAAATGCTGTATAGTATCCAGATCAGCACAAGCTATAGTGGGCAACAGGATGCTAAGCCAGGAGTTTCGGGTTCTGCTGCTGAGCTAGCTGATGCCCAGCATCTCACCCAAAAGAAACCCCACCGCCGCGCAACAGAAGGAGATGCTGTCTAAAAAAAAAAAAAAAAAAAAAAAAAAAAAAGAGTGACGAAGCTATACAGCCAGATTCAGTAATAAACGCATAACTTTCGCCTAATCAGATTCAATACATCTGCGCAGATAAAACTGACATACGACGCTGAACCAGAAATAGTTACAACAGCCTATACATCTGCAAGGCAGGTAGCAGTTCAGGCCAGCCCCAAAACATGGAGGGACGACAACACCTGAATGACAGACCCAGCATTGCATTGTCGTTCAGTTCCGTTTTACTTACTGCTTCTATGTTGAAGGACACGGCCCTTGACTGGAGCCACACTGCGGCAGTGACAGCTGAGATTAGACAACTTGCAGTCCTAATATTTAAACGATCAAGGAAGCCTTGGGGGTGCTACCATAACAATTAGAAGCTGAGGGGCACAGTCCAGCGAATCTATATAGAGATTTCTCAAATCTGGTGATCCCTACCACAAGTAGAATCAAGAAAACAGCTAAAGCTAAAATATCTGAACAGAGTTTCAGTTGCCTACTCTACAGACGAGAAGACCAAAGTGCAAGCTCAGCTAAGTTAAATACCTGCCTAAAATTAAAAACGAAGCACATCCTCCTCGTATCCCCAGCCTATCAAGAGCTTGAGAAGGGAGGATTGTTTGAGGGCCCAGAAACAGCCAGCCCTAGGCAACATAAAAGACTCCGCCATTCTCACATCTCATCTAGCACTCTGGGCAGGCCTGGGTGGAGGATCGCTCAGGCAGGAGTCTTCAAACCAGCCTGAAGCAAGAGCACACCTCTCTAGTAACCAGCAATAGAAAGAAATTAATTGGCCACTAAAAATATATAGAAAAATTACCAGGCGTGGTGGTAGATGCCTATAAACAGCTACCTCCGGAGGGGGAGCAAAAGGATCACTCTAAGCCCAGCGAGTTGAGGGTTGCTGTGAGCTAG